GCAAATTTGTTTCACGGACGCCTCGCCACCCGCATCGCCGCGCACGAGATCGCCCACGCACTCGGCTTCTCCTACCAGCAGATGGCGGCCCACCGCATGGTGAGGAATCTGACCGGCGTGCGCGGCAGGAGGCTGTCGGTGGTGGTGAACTCGACGAATGCCGCGATGGCTGCGAGGGAGCACTACGACTGCGACGACATTCGGGGCATGGAGCTGTACGACGTGGAAGGGGACGGGTCGGCGCTGGAGTCGCACTGGTCGGAGCGCAACGCGAAGGACGAGTTGATGGCCCCGCTCGGGGGCGCCGGCCTCTACACGGAGCTGACGCTGGGCGCCTTCGTCGACCTGGGCTTCTACAAGGCGAACTGGGCGGCGGCGGAGCCGATGGCGTGGGGCAAGAGCTCGGGCTGCGAGCTGCTGAGGAAGAAGTGCGCCCAACTCGGTTTGGATAAATACCCCAAAATGTTCTGCGAGCGAATCGATTTCCACCTGCGCTGCGCGTCGAATCGGTACTTCAGTGGTCGGTGCACAAGGAGCATCGTGGAGGCGTCGCCAGGGGCGGCAGCGGACTCCTGCCCCGTCATTGACCCCGTGCTGAGCGTGAGGGATCTCGGGTTGTCTTTGCGCAGGGGGCGCATAAAACGGCGAGGCCTGGCGACAAGCCCTCCTCGTGGTGCCTGGACGTGGATCCCACCACGGTGGAGGGTGCGAAGGGTGAGGACAATCCCGTCGCCGCCGTGCACGCGGAGGTGAAGTGCCTCGGCAGCGAAGTGAAACTGAAAGTGAAGAAGAAGAGCGGGGAGGATTGGATGTCGTGCACGCCCGGGTTGATTACGTGGAATATTCCGCCCTTCGACACTGACAAGGTGATGTGCCCCGAGTACAGTGAGGTGTGCACGATATCCGCCACCGGCAGCGGCGTGACCCCAGCGGTTGAATGGGACGGCACGGAGAAGGAGTGGAGGAGAACGGCCCCTGCGGAAGCGCCGGAGCCGGAGACAGCGCCGCCGAGTAGCGACGTGAAGGTCGCTTCAGAGCCCGCTGGGGACTCCCTCCTCAGCGCGTCGGAGGAACAACACCAACAAAGGGGGGGAAAAGATCCGCGACCTCAGTTGTCGCAGGATGCAGACAGAGAGGCAGGCGAGGCGTCAGCACCTTCTAACAGCACGCCCAACTCCGACGCAGAGGAAAACGAAAGGCGGAGTACAAAAAAGAAAGAAGGTGGAGGAGGAGGAAGAAAAGACAGAAGGCAGTGACGGTGCATTGGCGTCCCCAGCGTTG